CACTTTACAAACCGAATCAACATGATAAACCCACAATCAGTAGCGTCTCGCTGCGGGAAATACACTTTGTCAGCGCTGTCATCTGCCGGTGCGTTAAGACCACCTCAGTGTCGGATTTTGAAACTTGATTTTGAGTTCTCTCAAGGCAGTTAGGGTATAAGGGACAAACCAGGGGACTTTACTTCCTCTTGATACCGTCGGTTATTTACAAAAGAACACCTAAATATAGCATACTTGTTGTTATTGAGCTTCTGTCTTTCTGTGTCTTCTCATCTGTAAACTCCCTCAACGCGCCGCTCGCTCTCTTTTCTTGATCGCCCTCTCACGGGTGAACAGTTCAATGTCCCGCTTCATTGTAGGATTTCTGCCATGTCTCTACCACTTCAGTTTGACAATCTCTGTTACTAAGTTATGGAATACTAAATAAATAAGTAATTAGATACCTTACCGTTACCGCGCTCATAAAGAATGATAAGAATAATAATCATTTGTGAGTTTATTTAAGGTAATTAGTTAGAGGCCCTATTGTATCAGTATGTCTGGACTGCACAGCAGTTACAATGGTCAAACTACATTAGAACAGAATTGTCCCCATTTTATCTTTAATAGTTACTAACATTAGATATTTTAATGAGATATGGACCGCAAAACATTTTTAAAATCAAGTCACCGAATGCAAATACTCGCCTTCGCTTATTTTGTTATGAGCTGTTCAATTTAGTTGATGTAATAATCGTTTGGTTCTTTTACATTAAAAACAAGTTACAATTTTGAAAAGGTCTTGTGTGTTTTTCGGGGGGAGGCCCTTTTTCCAGTTTAGAGCAATAGCCCCTCCAAATGTCTGTGCACGTCCCTGCTTTATCAGATGTCTGTGTGCATTTCCCACTTTCTCACTGAGCTTAAATGTCCACATCATCAACAGCTACTGTCAACACACAGCTGACACCTTGCAGTTTTTTCACACGGATTTCTGAGAGGTGATAAGACTGACAGCGTGTCTGCACTCAGTGGCTTTGTTATCTCTGCATGAAGATAGCAAAGGAATCCCTTACCAAGTATGTGGAGGGAAAAAAGGAGAGGAATTCAGAGCATGATGTCAGTGCATTTATTAAAACAGAAGCACTACACTTTGCATGGTTTACCTGAACAACGTCAGCTGGGTTTTTGTTGGGGAATAGCCTACAATGGTGAAAGGATGATGCCTTTTTGTAGGCCAACAATGAAGTTAGCATTGCAAGGCCTCGCTCCATTAAAAGCCAATGGGATGCATTTTCTATTGGATTATTGCAGAAAATAATCTCTGTGGCGGACAAATGCTCATGAAACGTACACATTTTAGCTAACGTCAGGCTATAAAGGAGCTACAGCACGGTCGCATGACTTCATGTCACCACCGCTAAGCTAAAGGAGGCTAATGTTGGGCTATAAAGGAACTACATCACGGTCACATGATTTCACATCACCACCGCTAAGCTAAAGGAGGCTAATGTTGGGCTATAAAGGAACTACATCACGGTCACATGATTTCACATCACCACTGCTAAGCTAAAGGTGGCTAATGTTGGGCTATAAAGGAACTACAGCACGGTTACATGACTTCCCGTCACCACCGCTAAGCTAAAGGCGGCTAATGTTGGGCTATAAAGGAACTACAGCACGGTCACATGACTTCCCGTCACCACCGCTAAGCTAAAGGTGGCTAATGTTGGGCTATAAAGGAGCTACAGCACGGTCGCATGACTTCACGTCACCACCGCTAAGCTAAAGGAGGCTAATGTTGGGCTATAAAGGAACTACAGCACGGTCACATGACTTCCCGTCACCACCGCTAAGCTAAAGGTGGCTAATGTTGGGCTATAAAGGAGCTACAGCATGGTCGCATGACTTCATGTCACCACCGCTAAGCTAAAGGAGGCTAATGTTGGGCTATAAAGGAACTACATCACGGTCACATGATTTCACATCACCACCGCTAAGCTAAAGGCGGCTAATGTTGGGCTATAAAGGAACTACAGCACGGTCACATGACTTCCCGTCACCACCGCTAAGCTAAAGGCGGCTAATGTTGGGCTATAAAGGAACTACAGCACGGTCACATGACTTCCCGTCACCACCGCTAAGCTAAAGGTGGCTAATGTTGGGCTATAAAGGAGCTACAGCACGGTCGCATGACTTCCCGTCACCACCGCTAAGCTAAAGGCGGCTAATGTTGGACTATAAAGGAACTACAGCACGGTCGCATGACTTCACGTCACCACCGCTAAGCTAAAGGAGGCTAATGTTCAACGTTCAGTCGTTTAGTCGTCTCATTTAGACACTTGTTAGCAACCGCTGTTTTTAAATTCACCAGTGGGGCATTTACTCTGTTCTAACCAAGAACGCATTAAAAAAAACATTGACTTCAAGATGGGCAAACTTAGTTCCAAAAGGCTAACTTATTTCCCAGTTTTATGATTCATTCCTGCAACACTCTTTTGGACCAAGCATAAGAAAACGCTGAAATCCATGTGCAGAGGAAAGACTAAGACAGGGGGTAAAGATGAGGGATTGTTCATGTCTGTTGAAGCACGCTGCAGCAGGACGGTCAGGTTGCATTCTTGCGCTCCATCTTTGCAAAGCTCAAATGCTCAGAAGAATAGACTCGGGATTAGAAATGTTGGTGAACTGAAAACGACCCTCCTCTCCGTCTCTGTCTCATGCTGATTTCTCAGATGAACCCTCTCTCCTTTTAGAAACTCTAAACCTCCTCTCTGCTCTGTTTGTTAGCGGAGGTCACGCTCTGACTGGCAGCCAATATGGGACCAGGAGCAGGAAGTCATGAGGGAGAGAAAGCATGTGTCACAGAGAAGAATCGGAAAGTGCTTTTCCAAGTGTAAAAGCACAGCTGAAATGATATGACGACTTAATGCATTCTCAAGTGTCTGACTTGTACACCGAGCTATTGTGGGGTTGATAGCGTGAGAGCAGAGAAATGCTAACAAGGTGCCACATTATGGCCTTTTAAGCAGAACCACTTGGCGACCGAAATAATGTTTTTCAGGACGTTTTCCACGGCTGATAAGGTGTGAAATGGAGTGGGTACTGTACAGAGATGAACTGATAAAGTGTGACTGCTAAATATAACTGTTAGCACTCTTCCACTTATATGCACAAGTCTTTTAAAAATGAATTATATAGTCGGGCATTTTGGGAACAACACTTATTCACTTCGTATTCACCTTTAGCTTAGCGGTGGTGACGTGAAGTCATGTGACCGTGCTGTAGTTCCTTTATAGCCCAACATTAGCCACCTTTAGCTTAGCGGTGGTGACGTGAAGTCATGTGACCGTGCTGTAGTTCCTTTATAGCCCAACATTAGCCACCTTTAGCTTAGCGGTGGTGACGTGAAGTCATGTGACCGTGCTGTAGTTCCTTTATAGCCCAACATTAGCCGCCTTTAGCTTAGCGGTGGTGACGTGAAGTCATGTGACCGTGCTGTAATTCCTTTATATCCCAACATTAGCCACCTTTAGCTTAGCGGTGGTGACGTGAAGTCATGTGACCGTGCTGTAATTCCTTTATAGCCCAACATTAGCCGCCTTTAGCTTAGCGGTGATGACGTGAAGTCATGTGACCGTGCTGTAGTTCCTTTATAGCCCAACATTAGCCTCCTTTAGCTTAGCGGTGGTGACGTGAAGTCATGTGATCGTGCTGTAGTTCCTTTATAGCCCAACATTAGCCACCTTTAGCTTAGCGGTGGTGACGTGAAGTCATGTGACCTTCCTGTAGTTCTTTTATAGCCCAACGTTAGCCGCCTCACAACATTTATTCCATAGCTAACACGTATTATAACATGTAATATAAAATAACATCATGAAGGTCCCCAACTATATGACTGTATTGAACTGATGCAGACGGTTGATCAGTTGGTTCTATGTCATTAACACAGTGGTGTGTGTGTGTGTGTGTGGTGTGTGTGTGTGTGTGTGTGTGTGTGTGTGGTGTGTGTGTGTGTGTGTGTGTGTGTGTGTGTGTGTGTGTGGTGTGTGTGTGTGTGTGTGTGTGTGTGTGTGTGTGTGTGTGTGTGTGTGTGTGTATATATGTCCCACTAATTTGCTTTTTGACCTTGCCTTTCAGTGATCGGATTCTGTTTTGATTTTATATTTCTTTTATCTTTGTCCAAGGCCAGATTCCTCTCTGTTGTAGCTCAGTAGATGAAAGTGAAAGATGTCGTCCTCAGGGTTTATGTTTTTGGTGCTTTCACTTTTGATTATCACTTAATTACTGAGGAAAAGTGCCAAAGCTGCACTGCACTCAGCCTTTGTGAGATCTGTTGGGTTTATTGCTGCATCACAACTTTATACAGTATGATACTCATCCGAAATCGCCTTTGTCTGCCAGACAGAACTAATGAGAATTATTACTAAATTTCTTCTCAAACATTTTAATTGTTCTCAGAAATATGATTCTGACTTTTTGCTAGAAATAAAAAAGAATTTTCGATTTCTTCTTAAAAATTTGACATGAAATTTTTTCAGAAATTTGACTTTTTTCAGATAATTTTTTTTTTAACTTCTGTCTTTTTTCTTAGAAATGAGATATTTTTAAGAATTTATACTTTTTACTTAGGAATTTGATTGTTTCCTCACAATTCTGGATTTTTTTCAGGTAATTTGACTTTATTCAAATAATTTTGACCTTTCTCAGAAATGTGATTTCGATAAGATTTCAGAATAATTGTTCTTTTACAGAGTTTTGAAAAAAATTCAGAATTTTGACTTTTTCTCAGATGTAAGATTTCTTTCAGAATTTTGGATTTATTGCTTACATTTGTTTTTGATTTTCTTTATTATAATTTTTTCTTTTTTTAAATGTATTTTTCAAAATGTTGACTTTTCTCACCAATTTATTTGATTTAAAAAAAAAATGTTTTATTGTATTCATTGATGGAGCAAACCCAAACCCCTCCCAGTAATAAATACAATATTCTGTATACTTGACGGGGGTCTCATTCTCTGCAGGGTCTCTGTGGAGCAGAGGAAGTTCTGTCTGAGTCCGGACTCCAGCACAGCTTCGTCAAGGAACATTTCCAGGCCCAGTACAAGTGAGTCTCCTCTCTCAACATATCTTATACAACATGTTAATGTATAATATTTCACTGTTTGCCAAACCCCTCCCCAAAACAGTAATTGTCCAATCCTTTCTTTGAAATATGGAGGTATATTTGTGTCCTTTTTTTTGTCCCACAGCAGCAGAATTTGATTAGTTGTATCTTTCATTCTCTGTTTCGTCTGCAAATAAATAACTTGCTGAAAGTATATTTGATGATGGCTGTACCATAACATATATAGAAATTAACGTGAACCGTGTTATTAAATGCCCAGTGACTTTTGTTTACTGTACAACAGCTCTACTGTTACCAAGTGGTCTTAATCATCATCATCATCATCATCATCATCATCATCATCATCATCAGCTTTATTGAAGAGACTTTAGGTCCATTTTGAAAAGACATACAACACTCAAAATTAACAATTAATGTCCGACTGGCCTAAAAGACAAATGTCACAACTGAAACAGCAATTGAAAACACATCTGTCTAAGACCAGTCCTTTTATAGGTCCAATAATAATGATATACCCACACAGTGTTGCTCTGTGATTTTAATATAACTTTATACAGAGACACAGCTGCCCGGGTAGAAGTTTAGTAAATATCCGCCTCGCTTCCAATAATTACCAAGCAGGCACGAGTAGTAACACTAAAAGGTCTGCTAAAAACTGCTCTGGTACCCTAACTAAATCCCTTTACTACACATACTTATCTAGAGTGCTTACTTTATTTCTGCTCGGTGAAATGCAGCAATTAAGAATGTCAGCTGTGCAAGTGGTCTAGTATTTACCGTTGTAATAGTCATAGTCTGTCTGGTAGAATCATAAAGACTTATTTAATTGAACTGGTTACCGCTGGCAACTGTGGTGATGTGCAGCAAAGTCTCCCCCCTCCCCTCTGTGTAATCAACATGTGTAATGCAGCTGCATGTCCTCATGACTCCCATCAATCAGTCCTCACAAAGAGCAAGACCATTTCTGACGCGATACTTACATCTGTCAGCTGTGGCTCACTGTGAGAGCAGCATCGTAGAGATTTTCTGTCCAAAAATCTGTACGTTTTCTTCGAAAGAAACATTGGGAAGTATGCACTGCAGAGATGGTCATGCTATAAACGTCATGGTTAATTATTCACAGCTTTGTGCAGCGATGGGTTTGCAATCTGTGATTTAAAATGTAGATGCTACTCCCTCTTGGATTGCTTCATACTATAATTTCCCCTTATGCTGTTCAATCTTTCTTTCTTACCCATGTTTGTGCAAATCTCCAATATGATACGATATGGTGCGTATTGGGGGCGGCAGTAATGCAGTCTGGTGTGTTACGGTACTATACGTTACTATACAATACGGTACAGTATGATGCGTTACTATTCAATACGGTACAGTATGATGCGTTACTATTCAATACGGTACAGTATGATACGTTACTATTCAATACGGTACAGTATGATACGTTACTATTCAATACGGTACAGTATGATGCGTTACTATTCAATACGGTACAGTATGATGCGTTACTATACAATACGGTACAGTATGATGCGTTACTATACAATACGGTACAGTATGATACGTTATTATTCAATACGGTACAGTATGATGCGTTATTATACAATACGGTACAGTATGATGCGTTACTATACAATACGGTACAGTATGATGCGTTACTATACAATACGGTACAGTATGATGCGTTACTATACAATACGGTACAGTATGATGCGTTACTATACAATACGGTACAGTATGATGCGTACTATACAATACGGTACAGTATGAGCGTTACTATACAATACGGTACAGTATGATGACGTTACTATAACAATACGGTACAGTATGATGCGTTACTATACAATACGGTACAGTATGATACGTTATTATTCAATACGGTACAGTATGATACGTTACTATTCAATACGGTACAGTATGATACGTTACTATACAATACGGTACAGTATGATACGTTACTATACAATACGGTACAGTATGATGCGTTACTATTCAATACGGTACAGTATGATACGTTATTATACAATACGGTACAGTATGATGCGTTACTATACAATACGGTACAGTATGATACGTTACTATACAATACGGTACAGTATGATGCGTTACTATTCAATACGGTACAGTATGATACGTTACTATACAATACGGTACAGTATGATGCGTTACTATACAATACGGTACAGTATGATGCGTTACTATACAATACGGTACAGTATGATACGTTACTATACAATACGGTACAGTATGATACGTTACTATACAATACGGTACAGTATGATGCGTTACTATTCAATACGGTACAGTATGATGCGTTACTATTCAATACGGTACAGTATGATGCGTTACTATACAATACGGTACAGTATGATGCGTTACTATACAATACGGTACAGTATGATGCGTTACTATTCAATACGGTACAGTATGATACGTTACTATACAATACGGTACAGTATGATGCGTTACTATTCAATACGGTACAGTATGATACGTTACTATACAATACGGTACAGTATGATACGTTACTATACAATACGGTACAGTATGATGCGTTACTATACAATACGGTACAGTATGATACGTTACTATACAATACGGTACAGTATGATACGTTACTATACAATACGGTACAGTATGATACGTTACTATACAATACGGTACAGTATGATGCGTTACTATTCAATACGGTACAGTATAATGCGTTACTATACAATACGGTACAGTATGATACGTTACTATACAATACGGTACAGTATGATACGTTACTATACAATACGGTACAGTATGATACGTTACTATTCAATACGGTACAGTATGATGCGTTACTATTCAATACGGTACAGTATGATACGTTATTATTCAATACGGTACAGTATGATACGTTACTATTCAATACGGTACAGTATGATACGTTATTATTCAATACGGTACAGTATGATACGTTACTATTCAATACGGTACAGTATGATGCGTTACTATTCAATACGGTACAGTATGATACGTTACTATACAATACGGAACACGTATAGGCTATACTTTGGTTTAAATTGCGTGCATAAAATAGCTAGACAGCGAACTTTGATTTAATTCATCCAACGCCAGACCTTTTAACGAAAGTTTCAATGCTTTTCTTTCATTATAATTTGAGTAAAAGATTGAGGAGATAACATTGTATCGTTTTCTTTTTTTACTGACACAGATGTAATGGAAAGATTATCAGTCCAAGCTTAGCTTTCGTAAGGGAGATGCAGGACAGGCCGAGAGAAAGAGAGGGACTGCAGGGACAGCCTTCTGAGCCCAGGGTGCATTTACATTCTGATCATGTGTTGTTCAACACAAACTTAATAACCCCATCTATCTGCAAAGTGAAATGAACTAAATTACTGAATTATTTGTAATACACTGGCAGGAGCGACAAGTGAGGAGGAGCATACAGTTAACCATGAGGGATGAGTAGAGGACAGAGACATTACTTTTCCAATGTTTCGTGGGCATGTCTTCTGCATGTCCAGATTATAATGTGGATCAATATTGGTTACAATCAAATGATTCTCATGCATTACACTTTCAAATATAATGCATGCTGCAGCCCACTGACATGGTTTGAAAGCAATATATCCCCCCCCTCCCCTCCCCCCCGCAGGACTTAAGAAACAGATATCTGTATCTTGAAAATCGCCCCCGAGCTCCCCTAGCATGTTTTGGACCTCCGTCATCAACGAAATCCTGGGTACGGGCCTGATGCGTTACTATACAATATGGTACAGTACGATACGATATGATATGTTTCATACTGATGGTGGCAGTGACACAGCATGTACATTACTATACAAAACCGGTATGGCAGTAGTGCCTGGTCCCGATTGGAAATGTGTGTATTTAGACCTAATATTTAGTCCTGTGCATGTGTCAATTTGTACTGTGTTTTAAACATACTTTATAACACTTGCAATCCAAATACTTGTTAGTCTTTGCCACACAGACAAAGGGCCCAAACACAAAACAAAGTAAAGTCAACTTTTGGTCATGTATTTCAAAAACCCTTTCCTAAATTCAGGCAAAAAGATCAAATCTGTGGCCAAACCATCCTATCCAACGATGTTGTATTGTAACACTAATAAACACTTAGCTCCTGATTTAAAGCCCACCACTATCTGGACCAAACCACTAATCGATTATCTTGGATCCACCATCATTAAATCCATCCTTGAATTACACAGTTTTTAGTTGAAAAGCACTTCCCTCCAGACTGAACTGCTGATATCTCGTTTGCTCGGCACCATCCTCCATCTGCCAATTCCTCTGAATGTTGGCGTGTCAGTGTGGCTGCCAGTAATACATCTGTCAGAGAGCTTCTCTTAATTACCAGCCTCTCTGTCAAATGTCTCTTTGGGACACTTTGGGTGTGTCAGGCAGGAAGCTGAGGATTTTGGCAGGCGGTGAAATGTCTTCTTCTACTTAAACACTAGCCAGGGAGAGTAAGTGAGGTGAGACAGAGGGACTATATACATGACTAAGCACAAACTCTAAAGAGGGAATCTAGCCATATTTGACGTACTTCTTAATTTACATGTGCTATTTTGAGTGCACACGTGCGATAGTCCCAATGTGAAGTATGGAAAATTCACTCATAAGTTTAGTTTGGATGTCTGGACACTTCTCAAACTCAACGACCGCCATCTTGGCTGCGTAGCTCAAGTGCTACGGTAAACAAAGCTCCATACAAAAAAAAAGTTATACATGTGGGTATTTTATTCTATATTTAATAAACATACCACGTTCATAGTGTTGGAAGAAGCTACCGTTATTTTATTTGGTTAATTGAGTAGTCTGGAATGATTTGCTACCGCCAACAATAATGTTCTTGCCTAGCCATCTAACAACGTTGAACGCCATTTCCTGTGAGGGCATGGCAGCCGTGTGCGATTTTAGACAAAGCTACTCGGTGGAAATTCACACACTGTGCAAGTGTTCACAGT